GGGGGGGGGGGGGGGGGCTGAGACAGCTTGAGTTAATAAGGATTATGTAACAGGGGCCTTGATGAGTTTTTCCTCAAAACAGCTGTTGCCACCCTTCTTCTACCTGATTAAAGTGTTCCACTTGCAACAAATCCAGCGCCGCGCTCTGCTCGACAGACGACAGAGGGAACACACCCCATCTGCAGGAAAGTGCCGTGTCGAAGGCTCATTTTTCATACCCTGTTCTGTAAACCGACCGCGGGCTCCCGTCACGTCTCACACTGTGTTTCAGGTTTGAGCAGCATGAGCGTTGTTTTTCAGAATGACATCTCTATTCTATTCTATTGTAATTCTGTGTAAAGTACCTGTAATTCAACTGGACAAGAACCAGATGTTGAGCGGCTTTGCCAACACACCAGCTGGTGACACTGAACCAGGAGCCCAAAAAAGCTGTATTTGTGACACATCTGCCTCCTATTCAGCACTCTGTTTATTCATTTTTGAACTTGTGAACTCTGAATTTGGTGTCGCTGTCTAGTCATTGGGCACAAGGTCATACTCTTGTCTGAGCCGGTCCTGTGTAACACACCTGGACAGGAATTGGGAATTAAACACAGATTAGGACTTGGACTGTATCAGTGCAGTACTAAGAGCATTTATTTATTCACTTTTGTTTGTTAATCCTAAACCCCTCTGACCTCAACACAATTGAATTCAACACAAAGTATTAGCTGAAGATGCTACTGCTACAGTGTGGTGTCTCAGTCGTGACCATATGTTGTTTTCCTGCTGTAGGTGAGAGATGCCGAAGCTTCATCGATTTGGCCCCGCCATCAGAGAAAGGTGAGAGCCCACTGGTCATCAGTTAGAAATAAGGCTTCTCCTTCAGTAAGAGAATCTATTGTTAAATATTCACAGGAAACATGAAATGATTGACTGTTACTGCAGACCACTTTCTGAATGTAATTATGTCAGACCCGTTGTACTTCAGGCCTGTTCTGAAACATCAGTAAGAAGGGAGACTGCGGTAGCGTAAATCAGGTTTATTGTATTACGGAGGCATCCCACAGACATGGCTATGAGCAAAGCAGTGTAATGGCTAGAGGACGCACATCCACTTTGTTCCAAACAAATTCATCATGTTTGTCAAATGTCCCTTAAATCTTTAAGGTGATCATTTAGACGATGGCAGTGCAGTACAGTCTTCAAAGGCAGAACTGGAACTGTAGACCTAACAGTGAAGTTAAATATACATGTTCTTAATAACTGTACCTCTGTATTGTAAGTATTATATCAAACATTAACAATAATTATCCACTGAGCTATGGAGCCTTCTGTAACATCCCATTTCCCAGATTCAACAAGCACGTAACTTTCATTTTGTGCATTGTCCTTTTGATATGAAACCATTCGGGACACAGGTGCAGCCACACACACGTGCTGTTTTTGCTCTTGGGATTTTCAGCTGTGTTGACAGTCATTTGAGAAAGTGCTCACTTCCTCTGTAAAGTGACTGAACAGCAAGAAAGACTACGAGAGAGATGCAATTACACTTGGCTTCATTCACTGGGAAGCTGAATAAGATTTGGAGTAGACTGCTCTGACATCCGTTGAAATTCAGCATCTTGGATATCGGTTAACATCAGCCTCTATTAGCTGCCTGAGGAACCTCTGAGACTGAGTCTAAATCGTCCACTTGTCCATAACATGTCAGTGTGTGTTTTAAGACTGGTATTAAAAGAAAGATTCACAGTTTAATGTAGAATTGCCCCATTCAACATTCAACATTAGCCACTCTTTATAAGTAAAGGGACAAGAAATAACTGCACTGTGTACATAGGCTGAGTTATTGTAATATACTGTTCTATCGCACTGTTAGTAATATCACATTTATATTTGAAATGTTAAAGATCCCCTCCAGACATTTGTTAAGACAGATACAGATTTTGCCCATTCAGAGGTTTTCCTGCTGGACACAGGATGTCTCCTACTTCACTGTAAAGTCTATTCTACCTAACTATTTGTGATGTCACAAATCATGCTTGTAAGCTCCGCCCCTTAAAATCTGTTTTTCAGTGAGCACAGAGAAATTTTCCACTTTCAGTAGACGTATAAACATCCTTCTAGTGTCAAACTCTGCACATACATTAGTGTGTACAGTGGAGCTCCATCATCTAACTGTAGGAACAGGAAGAAAAACACACTTGAACTATTTTACTTATCATATCAAATGTGTCCATTTTGCAGGGATGCTGTGGCTGTCGCTGGTTTCTGAGATGTTGTACATAGTGCTGCTGGTGGTGGGCTTCAGCCTCATGTGTTTAGAGCTGGGCCACTCCAGCAACGTCATTGATGGACTCAAGCTCAACGCCTTCGCTGCCGTCTTCACTGTGCTCTCAGGTAGTCCCATTTTCTTTGTTATTAACCGAAAGGATGTGAGTGTCTCCTTGTCTATTGTCAAGTGTTTGTGATTCCAGTTTCCATGGCATGAAAACAAAGCAAAGTACCTTTGCTTTTAAAATTAATGCAGAAGATGAAGTGAGCCGTCAAGAAAAAGAGGCTCTCCCAGAAAGCTGCATCTCACAAGATTAGATTTTTCTTTTTTTTGTTTCTGCAATGATACTAGATTTAAAATCTATGACATAGGAGCTTCATACATGAGTCACGTTGACAAGTCATCAGGTGAAGAAATGTTACTTTCTTTCAGTGATGATAAGTTGAAAGCAGATTCCAATTAGGATGGTATTTGTTTTGCGAACATTTCAGAATGAAGCATAAACTGACATATATTTGTGTGTACATGAAATGGCTTTACTGTGCTCGTGGAAACAAAACATACTGTTTTTGAAGAATTCTTTGTGCATATTTAGAACCGTATGTCATGCAGCCAGCTAACCAGTCGCCTATATTATTTCAGGTCTTCTCGGCATGGTGGCTCACGTGATGTACACGCAGGTCTTCCAGGTCACTGTCAGCCTCGGACCACCTGACTGGCGGCCCTACAACTGGGACTACGGCTGGTCCTTCTGGTACGGCTCCACAGTCACACAACAGAACTCAAAGTTCAAACTCATACTATTTCTGTTCACCAATATCATATGAAGCCCCGCTATGTAAATAAAGCTAGATCAGCTCACTCATTAGGACACCAGATGAGGGATTCCATTCTGCGTGTAGCAGCCCCAAATAGTTGCCTTGTATCTCTGCTCTCACCTCTCCCCAGCATCACTGTCTCTAATGAAAAAAGCCCAAAGCTCTCATGTTACAGCAGGATTAGGCTTTGGTGTCCAAAGCCCCAATACAGGCGTGATTGAAATTGCATAAGAGGATAATATTTCACTCCTTTACAATATGCTCAGTATGCTGAAAATTGATTTTAGAGACTAAACAATTCTCGACCTTTTGTAGGCATTAACCAACCTGTGTGAAAAGTACATGAGACAGTGATTTGAACGCCCATGACTTAAAGTGTGATTGACGCTAATCTCAGCAAACAAAAATATTGAGGGGAAAATGTCAAAATGCAATCTGGATTGTGTCCCTACACCGATGCTCGCCGACAACAGAGTCACCATATGTGCCGAATGATAGGCTGAATTTCTCTTTGCTCTGTTTTCTTTCAGCATGGCCTGGGCCTCCTTCACGTGCTGCATGGGTGCATCAGTCACCACACTCAACTCCTACACCAAGACCGTCATCGAGTTCAGGCACAAACGCAAGACCTTTGAGCAAAGCATCCGCGAGGAGCACGCACGGGAGGCTTTCGGATATTTCCGGGAACGCTCCGTGCACTCCATCTCCAAATCTGTGGAGGTTTATTCCAGCCAGACACCAAAAAGCACCAGGAAAACTCCCATACCTGCTGACTCTCTGGACCTGAGTGACATTGCAGGATCTTTGGGGGAAGAACAGTGTTGAAGTAGGGGGCATTTCTCTCAGTGTGGCAACTTGACTGGCGGAAGCACTGTTGTTCACCTGTGGTCGGTGTTTAGTACGGGATGAACACCTAATTGGATTTCACATCATTAGCTCCGTCTGATACAATTAAACGCTGCCTTAATTGTGGGTGTGTTGTTGGTATCGGTAGTCATGGAGCTTCAACTCACATAGGAGCTAGCTTCAAACTGGAAAAAGTGGACTAATCTCATGGATAAAGGTGTTTTCTCTGTTTGTGTAACACAATGTAGATATAAAGGAAACTGTTAATTACACCCATATAAATGGAGTGAGGGTCTCTCAGATGCTAACAGCCTTATTAAACATGTTTCAGTCAATGAATGAATCAATGCAAAGACGGTGTCAGTTGAACTGGTTTTTATTGATTGTTAAATAAAGCCTCAAATACTTCCTGCAGATGATGTGCCTACATATAGAAATTGTAAATAAGTTGTGGAACGTAAGTGTGCAGTATTTTTGTACATGGATTGGTTGTGAAAAATTGTGTCATTTTTCTTTTAGATGTTCACGATCTGTTATTGTCTCACGAAGCCCAAACGAGCATATGCAACACAGTGGTTTTGTTTTGTGAAACCAGTGTGAACCATGTCCGAAAAAACTGCAGAGAAACTTACAACAGAGACCTTTGTAGCAGGAAAATTCATATGAACAATTGGCGTTATAGGTATGATCAACAGTGAATATAGTATCACACATTTCCAGTGCAGTATGTCATTTTCATTTAATGTTTCTACTCTGATTAGATAATAAATACTCACTTCTGTGAGGACGTCTCTGTTCAGACGGTTTCAGACAAATATGCTGGATATTAGTCCCCCTCCATTCAAAATTGTGTTTTAGTTAGTACTGCTTAATGTCCACTAGGGGTGGTGGGGCATGTTGATATGCTAGGTTACTTCTTGTCATTATTCCTGACACAGCAGTTTAGCTTTTTGAGTAGCATAGATTTTCTTTGCCCTGTGTTTGCCTCTAAGGCTTCAAAGAGCCTATCCACTGATTGGTGGATGTTTACCTGAGCGGAGGACTGCAGGTAATGTAAAAAAATGTGAGTTTATATTTTTGTTTATTGTAAATTTGAATCTAAAAATATGCTATAATCATTCAAAGATATGGCAGAAAAGAACAGTACTGTCTGTGCTCTTTGTAGTAAAGATGCATTGATGATGATCATTAAGTATAAGGTTTAAGTAATTCATCGTTCAGACTATAAGGTACTTAATGACGAAAACCAAATGTGATTTTAATTGACATTAGTGTATTAATATTACAACAATAAACATAACTTTTTTTTACATATTAGTCTACCATTATTTTGGAAAGCCTGATTTTATACTAATGTTTGTTTTTGTGTTATATAGTAAATACATCATTCATCTGCGTTTAGATATTTTCAGGGCTTTTGTTTGTTTTTTTGGTTCTCTGACTTGATGCACATCTTTGGTTACTTCACAGAGTTTGACACCCATACGTTGAAGGGAGAGCATTTCTCTGTGCTTTAATTTTGAGTTGATGGCGTGTGCACAACTAATGGAAGCCACTAAAGGTCCAGTTTGTATCTGTCCTGATTGGGATTTTTCAGTCGGGGAAAGGGCTAGATGGAATTTTTAGAATTTTTAACAAGGTGATTACATTGTTTTGTGGAAAAAAACATATAAGACACAAGTTATTATTCAAAGCAGAGTATTTTAAGTAAGTCTTAAACATGTCTGGAGGGAGTCTTTAACATGACTGAAGAACCACTAACCAAGAACGACATTTGAGACAGCTTTGATAAAACTCAATGCCTAATGTATGGCATTGTATACATAATCCCTACAGAGGGCAGTGTTGTATTAACAGAAATCCTGGAGACTATATTTTTGTGTTGTTTATTTTTAGTTTGGTTTCAGAAGCCATTTGTTACAAGTAAATGAAATGCAGGTGACTAATGAATTTATTTTTGTTATTTATTTATTTTTATTTCCATCTGGAGTTCATCTACATTTCACAGAGAATATATATATACAGTACAACTGGTGTTTATGATGCAAATTAAATTATAAATGGCACAAGATCAGGCCATCATATACTTATTTATCATATATACTATCATAAAAACATAAATATATTCCTTAAAAAGGTGCATGAAGAGGTGGACCTGCACTCTCTCCCCGCCCTGCTGCAGTACCTATTTCAGTACTCTATTCTTTTGCGTGTACAGCAGGACTGAATGTATTGCAATTGAGAAAAAAAGCACCCCCAGATCTGTACTTTTAACTGATACTAATCCATCTATGGGTGGCAACACAAATCATAAACTGACAAGTGTGATTTCAGTTATCTTAAAAAAATCCATTCTATTATTCTTTTCCGTTCCTCGCTCCGTGGTAAGATGAAGTCAGACCCCTTTGTTCAGTAACCGTCATCATACTCATTCTGGGCCTGCTGCCGGGCCAACATGGCCTGTATGAGAGCGCTGGAGCCTGCGGGCGCTGAGTTTTGTGTGGGGACCTGTTGAATCTTGTCCTCTTCCTCAGCTCTCTGCCTGGCTTGCATGACTTGCATCATAACACTCGACACAGAAGATGGCAGGTCATCTATATCATCTGCTCCGTCCCCCTCTGCTCTTTGTCTGGCTTGCATGGCCTGTGTGAGTGCGCTGGAGGATGACGGGCGTTTAACAGGCATCCGGTCAAAATCTTCATCCTGGTTGTCAGCTCTCTGACGGGCCAACATGGCCTGAACCAGAGCGCTGGAGGTGGAGATGTCGGACGGAACGGGCACTCCACCTGCTCTGCCTCTCTCCTCCTCCTCTTCGAGCCGCTGGCGAGCGAGTAAGGCCTGAACCATGGCGTTTGAGTTGGACTGACCGCCCGTAGAGTGGTCATCTAAACGCCGGTTGGTGTGCTGAAGGAGAGGAGAAAATATGCAGGGAGGTTGATAGACAAATCTCAGGGTGAAAAGGTGATTTAGTTGAGAGAATCTAAACAACAAACCTTTTTTTGATTCTTCTGTTTGTATTTTGGGTTAGATTTCTGGAGGTTCTGGAGCTTGTCCAACAAGAAGGACTTGTCTTTCCCCTCCTGGTGAGAAGAACAGAGAGAAGGATAATAGCCATGGCTGAAAAATGAATTTCAAATGCATTAAAGGTATAAACAGGCATACCAACTGGGTACCAAATAAAGGAAAAAAACAGACAAAAGCTCATTTTTAAGGATGTAAAACACTCACGTTAACAATCTGTTGTCTCAGTTGACCAATAAGCTGCTTGCGGCCCTGAGTGACTTGCCAGAAGATGTATATAATGATTCTGAGAAGGGAAACATGATCAAATACATGACACAATATCATAGACAACATTTGCATAATGACACAAATATGCTAAAATGCATACAGGCACACATTGTTTCAGTCTGTATCAGTTTATGTTTTAATAGTCCAATAAATAAACAACACTGTTTGTCTTTATATAACTGAACTGAGCACCATGGTTTCCCTGCCTGGCTGTGCTTAATGCCCCAACAAACCTTAAGATCAGTGATCTGAGAGGTGACTCCTTTGGACATGACAGAGAAACAAAATATCTGATATATATAATTTGCATTTCAATTTTAACAAACGTTAGCAGCGAGGTTCTTAGCAAGATGAATCCTAATGACTTTGGTGATCTCCGACTTCCCCTTGTACTACCATGAGGTCAAATTTTCAGTTTTCAAACATCTTGGTTTAAAACCTACAAACTACTGACGTTTACATTAGCCTCAATGGTACTTTGTTTTTAATGCTAATGAGCAAAGCTCCAAGTTACTAAATTAGCCTTGAGGTGAGATTGCTTTGTCAATAATAATTTCTGAACAGCATATAATAAGACAGTACATTGTGGTTGTTCTTTCTTGTTGTGTTTAATCTGCAGGCTCAGAATGAGATTGTGTTTGTGTTTACAGCTGGATTTTGTCTCAGAACAATACATATAGCCCATGAAGACGTGTGTGTGTGTGTGTGTAAACACACAACATAGCACTTGCACTATGTACTTACATGATGATGAGTGTGATAAGAAAGTAGAAGATTTCACTTCTGATGACATTTTGGTAGATCCATACAACCCACTGAGAAGCAGGGATCTCCTGCAGGTCATCTATCCAGACTCCCACCACACTGAAGGTACTGTTGAGTCCCCGAAAAGGACCACACTGCTCTGAGGGAGTTAGCCTAAAGAGCAGGACAAGATGGACAAAACAAGACAGAGGTTTGGTTTGGGGGAATTTGTGTACTTGGTAAAGAATGCAGCATGTGACTGCTGGGGTTCTGTTATAATTTTGTTCTGAAGGTAATGATCTTCTTTGACTCCAGGCTGCTAATGTGACATAAAAGTTTATAATGGTCGAAACAGGTCATGTCCTCGTACCTCCAGGCAGTGTATGCAACAATGGACAGGGCTCCCACAAAGAAAGGGAAGAAGAGGAGGGCGATGAAGATGGTTTGCATCTGAGCTGCTCTGCCTGTCCGCCGTGGGGGCTGGCAGTTCTGGGTCAGGCTGACCTGGGGACGTAGTAATATAACATACGTACATTAACATGTGAGGACATATAACACAAACACAGTTTTCACTCATTATTCTTGCAATACCTTATTATTAAAGTTTACAAAAGCATGAGCTCATTTCAGCCTGAACATCATATCTATTTCACTGCATAATAGGAAAGATGGAGATCTCATCAGAGCTCTGAATAGCATTGCTTCAGAGGTCATTCAGCATGTTCATGAAACATTCAACAACACCAGATCCAGCCTGGGTCAAATTTCCAATCATACTGAATTCATTTACTCTTCGATTGATTGGTTCAATGCAACCAAAAGGTTTACGCCATAAATCACACACTCTGCCTGTATTTTCCATATCACAAAATAAAGCATGCTGTCAATGTGATGGAAAGATTTTAATTAATTATTGAACCAGGTGCACAAATAGAGTAATGTGAGCCTATAACAGAGCAGCTTGGGCAGCGATGACAGTGTGTCATCATGACAGTTTGGTTTACAGTCGCCAAGGCCTTAACCGTACAAGTATTTTACCTTCTTTAAGTAAAACAAGATGAAAAATTTGAGGATCTGGATGGCAGGCAGCAGAGGAGAGAAGTAGATTCCAATCCTGTGGAGAGAAAACAGAGGATATATTAGCACTGAGACCAGGAGAGAAAACACAGGTCCTGATTTTAATTACATTGAGGTTTTCAGTGGATGTATTGTTCCTACCAGGCCAGCGTCTGTGCGTAGATCAGTTCAAGAACATTTCTAGCTACGTCAAACTCTGGGACCCCCAGACGTGGTAACAATCTGGTCCCAATCACACTGTTACAAAGAAACAATGAATATGATTTACATCTGAGGTTCACTTCCCCAATTTCTATGACTCCGAAGAACACAAAAAAACTTTAAATGTGTACTGTAACTCACTTGCTAAGAAACTCTCCAAAGAAGGATCCCAACATTAGAAAAAGGAAATCAACAATGACCAGACGGTACAAAGCCTGTCCCACCATGGACTCCCAACACTGTGGAAAACACATTAAGTTGATGAATGAGTCTCTATATCAATGTCTACAGATGACACTAATGTTGGTGTGTTTAAAGATGACAATTGAGGATTAATGCTTGTCAAACATACCGAAAACTTCTCAGCCACCACATTCATCCAGTAGTAACACAAGACAGCCAGAATGGACATCTTGAGTAACACATTTCTGTAAGCGTAAAAAGAAAATCATTATATTTTTATCATGTTATTAAGCATTATTGATGCTTGAAGGAATAGTTTGATATTTTGGGAAATATTTTTTGCTTTCTTACTGAGAAGTAGATGAGAAGACTGAAACAACAACAAAACATTTATTCACATATTACTGCAAATGCAGTGGTTTAGTTCAAAATAAGTTCAATTGTTTTATTCTGTAAATCTTACTTTAACAGCTGCAAGAAATAGCCTAACAGGCTTCATACTGTGTATTAGTGATGCTCTCTGAGTTCATCCAAATGTACACATAAATCATCCACTGCCACCCACTTATTATTATATTATATATATATTATTATTTTCTCTGGTTTAGAGACCTGTACCCACATGGACATTTCACTCCACACCTACTAGTCCCTGTAGGATAAATTGCCTTTTGAATGATTTAAGGTGATTTCTATGTGCTGCATTGTTGTACTGTATGTATAGCAAATACAAGGTGTAAAAGGAATATGACGCCATTAACAGGTGACCAATGGAAACGCATGTTTCCTTGAATAAAATGAGAAATGAAATTTCTCTGGGTTTAAAACATTTGGGATAATGTAAATACACAAGTCTCACAAATGAGATATAACATATGAATTAGTGAGCTTTAGAGGAGCTGGTAGGTGATTTAGCTTTGGACATAGCCAAGCTATCTGTTTCCTTGTTTCTAGTCCCTATACTAAGCTAAGATAAGCTAATTGGCTGCTGGCTCCAGCTTCCTATTGAGCGGACAGATATGAGAGCGTTATCAATCTTCTCAACTAACTCTCTGCAAGAAAGTGAATGAGCGAATGTGCCAAAATGTCCAAGAAACATATTTCTTGATCCTATGTCCTTGAATTCATGTGCAATATGATGTCATCAGAAGGGAAATCATGCTCCCTGCCTAATAGAAACGAGACTTCCTGCTATCTAACCTGACTACCAGAGCGTAGATCTGTCCGCGCAGGCTGGAGTAGTGCTCAAACTTGTTGAAGAGGGAGTAGAAGAGCGGCACAACCAGGTTCATCAGAGACACCACAAAGGGGACCAGGAGAGTCTCTGCCTCTCGAAGCAGAGACCAGTTGGCAGCATCTGTTGTTTGCTAAAAAGATAACAGATGGAGGTCAGATCAAGATAGTGCTAGATGATGAATACTACATGCAATTAAATAAATCAAACCCTGCACTTTCCGGTAAATGACTCAACACATTCCTGTCAGAAAGCTGGAGGCTTATGACACACGCTGATAAGGAATTTGACCATGCCATAAAGTATTATCATATGCAGTTTCTCTACATAGGAATACAAAAGGAACTGTGTGTCTGAGGACAGTTTTCTGTTAATATTGATTTTAATGGAACAACATGACATTTTCCAGAATGAGAAGAAACCTTTTTATTGTTCTCTGCAGTCTAAAGCCAAAAAAACAATGCAATTTAACAATAAGACAAATTATTCAATCTTGACTTGTCTACCTGCTGTTCATATTGGCAGAGATAATAGATGCTAGCTCCACAGCCAACAGCCAAACCGGTGGAGAGGAGCCAGGAACCCAGATGAACCCCAAAGTGCTTCAGCTTTTCAGAGAGGGTTAGCAGCTCCCTCTGGGCCCTCTCTGACAAAGACTCCTGAAGAGATGGCAAGAGGACAAACATGGCGATTAAAAATAATGAGATGTGTGATGGGACTTTAAACAGGATTTAACCTCTGAAAGCTAATTGTCTGGCATTTGTTAAAAGCTTATTGTGAAAATATTATTTGCAGCTAGAGTGGATTTCCAAAATGCAACCACAAAGCTAAGAGTAGAAGATTGAAAATGTGAATTAGTGGATATGTGCTATATTAAATAGGTCATTTAGAGTTTCTTACTTTAGATATATTTAATGATGTGTAGGTGAAATGATCCTGTAATAAAAAACAACTCTCTCCTGACTTGGTCTTGACTGATAAAAGTGGGTTTGTAACACAAGTATTATTCACCTTGAGTTGGACACGTAGGTTGTTCTTACGCTGTCTCACTGCTCTCTCATTGGTAATGCTAAAATCCCAGCTGCACAGAAGCTGCCATGCACTGTTTGAAACTGCGTCTGCTAGTACATAGTTTTCCTTGAATGAGCTGGCCATGCTGTGTGAGTATAGAGACAGAATGCAAGAATAAGTAAGGTGCTTTTATTTGTATTCAAACTACTGTTAACTTTAAAAAATTAATTAATTAGAATTAAACCTTAAAATTAGAGGGGTAATTTCAAGGAAATGTACAATAAACCCGAAGTACTGTAATTAGCTCTATTCCATTAGTTATTAAGACAAATGGACTGACCTGAAGATAAGTGCAATTCCACACAGCACCATGTAGACAGCAATGGTGAAGAAATAGGCCAACTGCATGTTGTAGTCCACCAGACCCATCAGGGTTTCATTGCTGTAGCCACCATAGTACATGACAGTGTAGTTGAAGTAACCCTAGAGGAACCAAAACACATTCACTACATTGGAAAATATGTAGTCATGCTGCCATAATCCACTTAGATTAATTAAATGTCAAATAAGGTTGGTGACTGTGTGAAGTAATTTGCTGAGCATCTATATGTTAATTAATCCTACATTAATTGATTTTGTTGCTCTTTTAGCTCTGTTTTGGTCGCCAACAACCCTTGAGGGATTTTTTGGGCTCTTTTGCTGCTAAATGCATTTTGAAATGAGGCCAATGCGAGCAGAAAGAGTAAACCAAAACAGTAAATCTGCAGCCCTAAAACCAAAATAATTCACTGTAAGAAACTAAAAGGCTAACTAAAACAGCTTTAAATTATGCAATGTATATCAGGGATCACATGGTATGGTAAAGGTATGTGGTGAGAGCCTCCACTTACAGCCCCAGTCAGTATCTCCAGTCCTCTGAAGCTCACATTCGGAGGTATGTTGGGTGAGGGGTCGTAAACAAGCAGCGGGATGGTGATGAAGCCAAAGTTGATCAGGAAGGAGAAAATGTTGAACATGAGCAGCCACTTGAGGAACAGGAAATAGGAAAGGACGCTGGTGCCAAACTTGCCTCCTATCTCTTTCATGATGCCTTGCCACACCTCCAGGGTCTGCCTGGCTGACCTTATGCTGTAGCCGCACCTGCGTAAGGACTGAGAATGCAGCTTGTTACATGTATAGCAATACAAGCTGAGGTCATGAACCAGACGGCTATATATACAAATGATTTGTTTATGTATGGTGTTGCGGTATTTTGTCTTATAATTGATGAAACACTCACCAATGACACATTCTCAGAGCAGTCTGCAAAACATGTGAACTGGCGAGATTGCTTAGCAGACTTGAATGCCAGTACTTGGCTCCTGTGGAGGTAATAAAGAACATAATTTGGTATTTCCAATAGGTTTTGCAACAATGATGCTGCACTCTGCAGAAAAACCTTTGACCTTTCATTTTAATACTTTCTTGTGTAATGTACCTTGAAAGAAGGGTTCAGTGTTTATTATGTGTGTGTGTGTTCGCTCACATATATAACTTTTCCTCCAGTGGTCTATATCGCAACACAAGACTACCACTTTGTCTTTGCATACAGAATACTTGTTTTATGGTCCTCATCAGGGTGTAATAGTTAACTCAGTACCTCAGAATGACGTGGACAAGAAAGCTTATCAACTTTAACTGCTTGTCAGTCAAAACCCACCTGATGTGTTTCTTCTCTTCAAAGCTCATTGCAAGGTCTCGAATGGCCCGAATTCGGTCTCGTGTTGACAGGGCAACAAGTTCCTTGACCAGGTTCTGTTCCTCTGTCACATAAAGATGACAAGACAAGCCGATCCGGCATCACACTTCACATTGCACACATCCACAAAAATAATCTGACAACCGGCACAGGATCTTACCATCCTCCATCTCGTCCCTGATGGCATTCTCTGTGAAAGCTAGATGGGTAGGATCTGTGTTAGGAAACATGCTCATCCTCCTCATTGCAATTCCCCTCCATCTCATTGTCATGTTACCTGGATAAACAAACAAGGAGAAAAGAATGTGTTTTTGCATACAGGATGGCATTTTTAAATGTAGCACCTGCAGCTGCTAAACATTTACTCTCCCATCACAGATATCAGCTTTCTTCTCTTTATAATTTCCTGGTTAACTGATTGCACAGAAACTTTGAGATGTGTGTATTACCTACCGTAAATGTACGGATTGAAAGCACAGCTGATAGCAGTGCAATATAAAGTAAAAGCTAATTCGGGTGCTATTATAGCACTGACTTTACATTATCTCAACTCCTGATTAAACCTATGATACTGTAGCTGTTGGAACCTCAGCCTTTCACACCATCAGGGATTACTGACTACCAACTGTGATAAATGATCAAATGGAGTATGGCAATGCTTTACAGTGTAGTTAAGTTGTATTACAACATGCTAACATGCTAGCAAGTCTGTGAGTCTGTAGCTTATACTGTCAATGGGCTGTACTTAGACACAGCAGTGCTTTGAGCTAAATGTCAGCATTAAAATGCTAACATGCTGATGTTTACCATGTTTATCACCTTAGTTAAGCTTGTTAGTATGGCAATGTCTTACAGTTTGGTTTTACAGGCATTTGGTCAGAAACCAAAATATTGGACAAATTAAAATTGTGATCTGTTTGATTGTCTGAACCTGATTTAATGGCAAGCCATCCAATAGTTGTTGAGAGATCTCACTCTACAAATTTCAGCTTTATGGAGGTGTTAGAGGAAAGATCAGGGGTTCACCAATAGGATTCATCCTCTGGGGACCATAGTTTAATATATTTCAGTCTGGAATAAAACGGTAGGACAAATGAGGACTGACTATTATGGCTTGTATAGCTACAAAAGATCCATGTTCAAAACACGTAGAACATGTTTTTCATGATGAAAACACAAGCTAAAGGCTGGCCAGTAATTATACAAGGATTAAGTTACATTACATCACGTCAGCCACAGCGCAGTTATAAATGCCTGAGAACAATAAATGTCCACTCTTTTCCCCTTTTACAGACACATGTACACAACCTTTAGATTGTTACTTCAGCTTCAGATAGCATTTTCCAAACAATCCCCTTCCCCCTGTTTTATTTTCTTTGCCAACTTCCTTGTCTTCCCTCTCTTTTGTTGTTGCGTGGAGCCTCCATTAATAATTACCCAGCTGGATTTTGCTACGTTGATTGATAATAAAAGTCAACAGGTCAAGATGAATGACTCATTAATTTAAATGTTTTGTCCTGTAATGGACTAACAACTTTGTGTGAGTATTTAGCAATAACATAGCAACAGTGTGAGCACTTTAGCTGTAAAGACTTCGACTGTGGAAAGAAACTATTATCTACAGTATTTAGTAAGATTAGTTTCACCATTACCTGACATTGTAGAAGGAAGAACAGAAGGCGGTCGATCAAACTGAGAGGCAGGGGGGATTTGGAACGTACTGTGATCTGAATAAAAGGTTAGCAGATAAAGTATCAACAGAACGGTCACTTAGCAACACATAAAGACACTTAGAAATACTGCAGAGCCAACAACACTAAGTAATGTTGCTTTTATATGATACAATGCAGCATAGACATCAAAATGTACACAGACTTGTTCTAAACTGAGCTCAGTCACGAAGGCCCACTCACTGAGGTCATGCTGCCATGAAGGACTCCCGGGGCGCGTTGAGATGAGGCCCATGGGGATGCTCTCTCTCCCCCTCCAGCTCTCCTCCTGCCAGCCCCCCCATGGTACTCTCCCTGAAGCATCATCGCTCCTGGTCTGACCTGTCAACGAGTAATGTGCGTCCTCCCTGGCATAGGGGTTAGTGTGGTGGGTTTTGCTGGAAGACATAGACACAGAACAAATAAAGATCAACTTTTCATCAGTGAGGTCATACTGTTTGTGTTTAGAATACCTTAAAGCACTGTGGTTGTCAGTTCATGAAAGAAACTGATATTTCAAGTCATGGTTACGTTGTCATTGTCTGCAATTAAACAAGTGTCATAGATATGACTGCTATGGAGGTGATGTTTTTCTCCTGTGAGTAATTTTGAGGATATGATATCCTACAAGCAAGTATAGGATTAAACTTCAGACACCAATGAACTAACATATTTGCCTGCGTTTTTTGAAGAAACTTTAGACCTCAAAGTCCTTACCCAAAATAAGAAAAATGCATTGAATCACTCTTACAGCCCAGGATATAGCCAGGATAAATACCATTTCCACACAGCTGCCTGTTCCGTAAGGACATCCTGTTCATTCTTTTATAGTACAGTATGCCCTTAGATAACACACAGCACTCATTCAAACACATTCCTTGATCAATTAAAATAAGGGAAGCGTTTCTTTTCTTTTAGGATAAATGATGATGCACATTTGAAGACAGAACCACATTTTATGTTATTATATTACCACAAACCTTCTATCAATTTCCAGAGTCTCGCTGTCATGGTAGGCAGGGTTGAAGAATCCTCCGTTGCTGTAACTTGTCATGAGATCCTTCAAATTGATCCTTTTGCTCTTCTTTGAAAACAACAATCCTTCAGCTCAGCAGTCGCTCTTCAGTATGTAGATGTTTGTATATAGTTCCAGCTGTAAACTGGGAAAAAAAAAACCTTGCTAAAACACAGATATCTGTAAAAATGAGATCACGAGAAATATTTCATTATGTTATATTCAGACTTCAGTTGCCAGCTAAGACAACTTAAATACAGTAGTTGCATCACATGTTGAGGCCAAGTGCCTTTCTGTGCTCAGAGTGACATTGTCGGGGGGATGCATGTGTAATTTAATCTCTTGGCCCCATCCTCATCTGTCCATCATTAATTCATACTGTAGGTTTTGTTTCAACCACATGTAGTAGCCTAGATCTATGGGTGTCACACAGAACCAGGATAGCAGAGTAGGAAAATCTGAACAACAGTTCACAGAAATCTACAGTCAAATCCACAATGGAAGTTAGAAAGAACAACTAGTGGGACTACAAACAGATTTACTATCACATCATGAAAAATGCTCATGAACTATATTCTGCAATCTTTACAAATGCTGCTTACCTGGTGAATGTGTTGTGATCGTGAGAGTATACACAGACGTAAGTCCTGACAAAATGCTGTAGAGCTGCAGAGGAGGAGTAACCTGAGAATCAGCCTGAGAATCAGCCTCAGAACCAGCGTCAATGAGATAAAAATACGGACTGTCTGGCTACCAGGAAGTGTGTGCTGAACTACCTCATAAAGGTAAAAGTCCACTGCTTCTGAAGAGGCCATGTAAATCCCATGTGAACACTTTGCATGGTGACTAAAATAATTAAATCCCTAAGGCTAAAAATTAATTGGGTGTCCAAGAGTTCATGTTGTATCTGCTGACCTGTGGAGCTTACTGATAGAGGTTGTCTACAGATAGATATAATAAGTAATGAATGAATACATTAGTGAATAAATAGATAAGGTAGATAAATAATCTGCAACCCACCAACAGCTAAAAAGTAGGTGCTCTTGCAAACTAGATATAAAGAACTATATAATATAACTCACCAAGTAAAGGTAAATTCCCATGGCCAGGACATATATCAAGGACCAGGGCAGCCATACAGCCCTTTATATCACACTTTCAGCATGGGTTTTATTTGCTTTGCACAACTGGTAAAGGTCAGAGACTACACACAAACACACAAACACACACACACACATAAAAAAAACAACTTATAGGATATTTAATATTTATTGCGTTGTACACATTATTATTTCTTCTCCCCTCTTTTTTTTGTTTTTACCTTAAAACTGCCTCTAACTTAAGGAAGTTTAGGTTACTTGTCATGAGGATAAGCCTGTAAATACTTGCACAATGTCTTCTTTGGCCTGGAGGGATAATAACTTTGATAAAGATTATCTCAGAGACTTGAAATTTATAATCATTGCTACAAACATGGAGTGCATGGAGTCTGTCTGACCCATTTAGCAACCAAAACTCAGTGTCTGCATTCATCTTTTTAATGTGTCTATTAATTATTACGATCTAACACATATTAAGTTGATAAAAATCAACTTAATTTAAATATATATTTTAAAACCAGTAAAATATGACAGAATGAGATAGAAAAAGGTAGGCTACAGTAAAATGACAAATAACATGAAAATAGTTCAAATATATATTTTAAAACCAGTACAATAAGAATAAAAAATAGGAAAACGATAAAATCACATAAATGAATTTAAAAAATACATGTATATATATATATATTAATACATATCAACATCATTCAAATATATATTTTAAAACTATTGACAGTATATGTTTAAAACCAGTAAAATATGAAGACATATGAAAAGAAACAACAAAATGAAATGGATTAGTAAATATTGTAATTCTTTTAAAGACGTAATAAGAGAGAAACAAATAGGAAAAACCAGTAAAATGATTTTCAAACCCGGTTGAATAAGATCAAGAAATAGGTGCAAGGAACAATCAAATGAAATGAACTAATAAAAATCGAAATACAGTCAACTGAGAGACAGGCACATGAAGAGCGAGCTGAGGGCTGCTGCGGTCCCTATCCACATTCAGGAAGTTGTCTCTGGAAAAAACTGAGTTGTCTTCCTGACGGCGGAGTGTCAACTCCCTGTTGACGAAGTCTGCCAGGTTAATTGTTGGCTGATAGAAATACTACTCAGTGCGTCGAGGTTTTTATTGTATCGGAAAGGGGAACGATGGAGGTCGACCCAGGTAAACTTAGCGCAGTACTTGTGTCTGCAGCTACCCTTGCTCATAAACCAGGTCCATTAAAACTTCAGCACTAGCTCAGCAGCTAGTAATGCTAGCCTCAAACTTTGTATCAAATAGCCGCTAACAACTTTAACTGCTGGTTAATGATTTCTAAGGAGAGGATATTTGGAAGAGTACAAGTTACCACGTTTAGGGGTTGTATAGTTTTGTCTCTGTACTGTGTCGAAACTTTGCTGTGTGCGTTTCTCTTTGCTGGGTTTGCTCCTTCGTTAGCCATTGTCTGATGCTGGATAAGTAGAACAAGAGAGACAATAACTGTCAGTCAGTCTGTTGCTCGCATTAGAAACACACAGGTTATTTAGAGGAAGCAGCACCTTGCATTACTGATGTTATAACTCTGCAACAGGCACATGTATATCATATTGGCACACAATAATAATAATAATAATAATAGTCACATGTACACATATTTATCAATAAAGTATCCTTATAAGACATGATGACCTATTGATACATGAATTGTGAATATCTTTATTTTGACCTCAGTGTATTAAGCATACTGTAAATATCGGATTTAAAATGCCATCAGATGTGTTTTGCAGTGGTGTTTTTTTCTTGTTCAATTCTCTGTCACAGAACAATATCCATAACTACATTTAGTAGTTAATTCAGTCCACAGGTCAAAGGTTATTACATTTCACTATCCATCAGTTTTAACCATGTTTTAACTGGAGGGCTTTGGTAGCTGAATGGTTGCAGCATGTGACACATAACCGCAACATTGCTGGCAACCTTTCTTCTGTCTTTCTCTTATTGTCATACTGTTGAAAATGCCAAAAAAAACCAATATATGTATATATATATATATATAAGGGATAAAAAGTTGTAATTCTGTTAAACTGTGGTAGCCTTCGGTACTACATAATCAAACATCCTAACTCTGTAAGATCTAATCATATTTATTAACCCCCTTCAAGTCTTCTACACAGATCGCAGTGGAAGAGTCACCAGTAACCCACTGTTGGACCAGCTCCCCAGCTACCAGTCCCTGCTGTACCGCAGGAAGTCATCGACTTCTACCGCAAAACGAAGAAGCAGCTCCAGAGGGCGACTTGGCTCCTCCGGGAGTGGGAAATGGCACGTGAACACCTTCAGTAGACAGGAGGAGAAACCGAAGAGTCAGACGGAGCAGAGATCCATCAGGGAATTAGCCAAGAGCATGGCCGAGAAACGCAGAGACAAGTAGGAACAACATTATAATAGTATGTTTACTGTCTTATTTCCCGTTGTAGGCTATGTTTAAAAGGTACAATGTATCTGACTGTTACTTGTTAGGACCCAGCGCATAGAGGAGGCTGGAGACCTCAGCAGTTGGAGCCAGTTGAGGCAAAGCACCCGCAGGTATCTGAGGAGGCTGAAGGATGATGCCCAGGAATGGCTGAGCTCCCTGAAGCTGTGGAGGGGAGACATCCACCTGATAGAGGGTGAGCCTCAGAGGCATTCATTGATTTCTATTCAGGGTGGCTGACATGAGTAAATGTACCTTTGCTGTAACAGAAAGGGTTAAAGACAGTGAATTTCTTTCTCTCTTCTCATTTACGTTCAACAGGGATGTTCGGCACAGGGATCCTGTCTTACTTCTCCTTTCTGCGCTTCCTGGTCATGCTCAACTTTATCATCTTTTTGCTCATGTTCAGTTTCGTCATGTTACCCATCATCGTCGCCCCCCATGCTTCAGGGAATATCACATACAACCAGAATGATGGTGAGAGGACGCTTTGTTTGTGTCAAGCTAGAGCGTAAATTAAGCATAAAACGGTTTTAAGCAAATGCTGTCCTGTGTTTCACTACAGGGAGTGTGTGCAGTGTGTATCCAAGCAGTGCCCGTCGAGGTCTGGTCATCTTTCATGAGCACATTAATGACCTGCTGTCTGGTGGAGTAAGTCCTTGTTAGATATTGTTTAATGGTCTCTGGAGAGGAAAAAATAAGGCGTTTGGTTTCCTAACTCCCCTTTTGTGATCTGCAGGGCTTTCTGGAACAGACCTATCTTTTCTATGGCTACTACAAGGTGGACAAAATCTACTTTCCAAAGACCACTTACAATTTGCCGCTGGCCTACTTGTTGGCCACTATAGCCTACCTGCTCCTCAGTCTCATCTGGATTGTTAAAAGGTACCGAAAATTGCAAACTCGTGAAGAATAACATTTATTTGACAGATCAGTTTCTGATGAACTTCTCTTCAAGGTCTGCCACAGGATTCAAACATAACCTGGTACAGGATGAGGACCGCTTTCAGAGCTTCTGCAACAAGATCTTCGCCGGTTGGCACTTCTGCATCACCAACGAGAACACCTCGAAGCTGAAGAGAAGCAGTTTACTCTATGAGCTCAGGGTTAGTTGATTGAAGAATTTAGCAGCAGCAATAAGTTAGGGGCAGACTGAAACTTGACTGGTTGGCGGAGGCATACAACCGTGGGGCTCTACTCGGTCATGTGGACTGACGTAGTTGAAAGTTTACCTGCATGAAACTAAAATGACATGTTCTCATATCCCCAGACGGATCTGGAGGAGGAGAGGATCAAACAGAAAATAGCAGATCGCACCCGCAAAGAGAAGTGTCGGATTTACCTCCTCCGCCTCATCCTCAACCTGTTTGTCATCGGTGTTCTGGCTGGTTGCTTCTACAGCATTTATGTAGCCACCATCTTCTCACAGGGAGCCCAGATGAATAATGTAAAGGTATTGAAATGATGCCGACCTCCATGGCTAGAAACTCATTCCAACTTGAAACCTGTCCAATTCGTCAAATTTAGACAAAAGCTTTAAACAGATGTCAGTAGGCATCAGAGGTTTAAAAAAAAAAAGGGAAAGCTTTGTGACACTGTTTCCTTGGTTGCAGGAGAACTTCATTGTGGATCTCATCTATGAGTATCTGCCCTCAATTGTTATCACCTTGGCCAACTTCATCACCCCCCTCCTCTTCTCTATCATCATCAATTATGAAGATTACTCGCCTGCATTCGAGATACGCTTCACTCTCATGAGGTACAGTCCACTCACTGACCACTTACTTTTCCTCTCTCTTAATGGTGATGTTACCTTGAAAAGTAAATGCATTAGATGACGAACACTATTATAGGAACATGCATATTTGCTATTTAAAGATTTATCTAATTCATTTCAAAAAGATTTACACAACAAAAGTTAATATGACACAAATGTGTAACACAAATAGCTGTAATACCAGTGACATTGGCTGAATTACTGTCTTTTAAAACATGTACTCTATTACTTTCTTTCCTTCTTTTTCTCTCTTTTTCCTTCCTCCTTCCTGTCTTTGCAGGTGTGTCTTCATGCGGTTGACCAGTATTGGGGTTTTGCTCTTCTCTCTCTGGTCTCAGATCACCACATGTAATAAAGGGGAGACCTGCATCTGTGGCTATAACCATTTGCTTTACTCTGTAAGTCATTTTCCTGCAATCCACTGTGATATACATTAATTTCCTACGATATCCTCTGTCAACATGCACACCTGTAGCTCAACGCTTAATGATGTCCTAAGACTGAATCTTAAGGCATTTCATTTGAGAATGTTTTATGTAAATCTCTTTAAATGTATTGTAGTGTCTTATATTCTAAGTATGTTCTATGTCTTTGTTGTTGTCCACAGTGTTGGGAAACCCGTGTGGGCCAGGAGATGTACAAACTCACCATCTTTGACTTCATCATCATTGTCGCGGTCACCATCTTTGTAGAGTTTCCCAGAAAGTAAGTTTTCATCTTACCAAAAATCATCTCATTAGAAACTTTAAAACATCCATTAGTGTAGTTTTGTAAACAAAATGTGATCATCTTGATGCATTTCAGGAGGCATAGCCTTAAAAAAGTGTTCTTGTGTATTTTTATTCCCAATCCCAATATTCTTGCCATTCCTCTGGTAATACTTTTAGGTGGAAATCTTACTCATCATTTGTTCTTTAGTCATTTGTAACAGTGTCTCTGTGTTTCCCCTGTACTCCTCAGGCTGATAGTGAAACACTGTGACTGTGGCCTGGCCAAGTGGTGGGGTCAGCAGGAGTTTGCTATTCCTCAGAATGTGCTAGAGATCGTCTACGGTCAGACCATCTGCTGGATCGGCACATTCTACTGCCCGATGCTGCCTGCCATCTGCACTATCAAATACTTCTTCATGTTCTATATCAAAAAGGTGATTTTTTTTCTTCTAACATATTCACTTACACATTTTTTTTTTTACAGGGATCAAAGTCAGAAGTAGGGTTTTCGACTGCTTTCTGTTTGTTCATAGGTCTCATTGATAAACAACTGCCGTCCAGCCACACGTCCGTTCCGAGCCTCCAGCTCCAACTTCTTCTTCCTTGGTGTGCTGCTGATAGGCCTGGCTCTGGCCTGTCTGCCTGTCACAGTTAGTGTAGCACAGTGAGTATTGATGCACTGTTGATTCAGTCTATTAGCTAATATAACATCTGCTTCTCTGCAGCTTGTTGTATAGACACCAGAGGTCAATATTTGTCTCATGAATATTGTTGTTAAATATAATTAGAGACAAGATATTTGTCGTTTATTTCCTTCGCATTGACTGTTGATGTTTCTCTTGGCATATATATATACTCATGCACGCATCCCTTGTCGCACAGAATAAACTGTTCCAAGGCCTGTGGACCATTTGTTAATTACACCACCTCCTGGGAGGTTCTGCCAACTACAGTATCCCAGCTACCGCACGGTGTCCAAAGTCTCCTCTACGCTCTCTCCTCAGAGGCCTTCGCTGTCTCCTTCTTTGTTGTTACGTGGTACGTGTTCCCGTCAGGTGTTCCAGCATCGATGATCACGACATAGCTGAGGTTTTAACTGTCGGTAACAAGTGGTCTTTTCTCTCTTTCTTCTCCTCTGCAGTTTGGCCATGTTTTATGTGATCGCACTAGCCGGAGCTCACAAGAGAGTTATTAACCAACTAAGGGAGCAGCTAGCCATGGTAGGTTGACTAAAAATATGATGTCTTTCTGCCTTCTTTCTACCATATTTATTTTCTTAATCATACCACTGACCATGCTTGATCATCATTTGAGTTATTACCAAAATTGGGATCCACCATCTATGTGTCATTTTATTCCTCAGGAGGGCCGCGACAAGCGTTTCCTGATCCAAAAGCTGTGCCAGGCCCAGAAGCTCTCGGCTGTCAAATCTCCAGTGTCCAAATTCCAGCCCCGGAGCAGCAGAGGCAGCAGAAGCAGCCCCAGCTACCACACCAGCTTCTCCAACAATTTCGATGAAGGTGTGTTCCTGGCACACCCGCCTCCTGACTCCTCCACACATGTGTGAGGCAAGGGACTGATACTGCAGATACAAGTCTGGACAGATGGACGCCAGTAGAAAACAGTTTGAACAAATATCTTAAATGTTTTTTTTTTTTATTGTGAAAACACTACACAACTTGGGAGTTTCTATGGGCATGCGTTTATTAATTTGTCTTGTCTTCTCAGTGTTCTTTTGTTGACAGTCTGATTATTATAAAACTATTAAGAGGCCACAAAAGTATTCTTAAACCAAAACAGTCATTGCTGGCCAGATATTTTTGTGGTGTTTCCTACTGTATGTACTGTCATGTTTTCCTTCTGAGAAGGACTTACTATAACACTGGAGATGGAAAAACCTTTCTCAATTTTATGCACTTTAAATTTATTAACACTAGCGTTTTCTTACTTTTCTAACAGACAGAACAGTTTGTTGATTGTGCCTCTTGTGTGTTTTACATCTACCATTTAACATTATTAATCACTATAAGGTTGCATAACACTGCAAATAACTAGTACATTTCAAAATACTAAACTAGGTTCTTGATAACATTACTGTGACTTTTTTAAAAGACATAAACATATATGTATATATAACCTGTATAATCTACATCATGTACACTTCCCACATTAACAGAACAAAGACCCACAATCCTAACAGCAAAGCAAAACAAGACGGGAAGACATGCACATACACGCATAATATTTAATCATTTCTTTTTTTTTTAGAGTAGTAGTGTAGGAGAGTCTGTGGATTTGCAGTGTTTCAAGTTAAGTTTCTTAAATGCATTTGATGAAAAAAAGAATAATTCAACTACACGGATACCTTACTTTATTCTGTAAAGTATCTCAAAATATTTGCTGGATTAAAATTTCAACTCCAATAAGATAACCAATGTTCTACTTTAAAAAAAATCTTCTGAATTTTGGGGGAAGTGGGCAACCCTGTCTGGTACTCTCCATTGAAATCCCCCAGATGTAAGTTGGTGTTTGTATATTTATATAACTAATATACCTTTTCGATGGTGGGTATGTTAAAATGTTTTTGTTTTTTGCCTTTACCATTAAACTGTTTACGTGGAAAATAAATATTGAAATGTGTCAAATCTTCGTTGTGCTCAGTCCTTTCTCTCCTTTTATCCTCTACCCTCACAAAACCGTCATTAGCTTTAAATCATACCTCCTCCCACCCAGCAGAGGTCGCTGCTCCCGACGCTTTGTCCGCTCGTTGACAGCAGCTCAGCTGGTACGGAACCGGAGGCAGCGTGCTGTTGCTCGGCTCAGCGAGAGACCACTCAGCCAAAATGTTGAGAATTACGATCCGGGCCGACATGGGAGCCATTTGGGTGTTATTGTGTATCACCTATTCCCAGTTCTTGAGCGTATCGTCTGATGACATAGTGGTCGCATGCGGGGGATTCGTGAAATCCGACGTTGAAATCAATTACTCTCTGATCGAGGTGAGAGTGCAAACCTACCGGTTAGCTCGGTGGCTAACAGCTAGCTGGTTTATCGTAGTGAGCTAACGTTAGGTTAAAGGTTAAAGGCGGAGGTTCGGTTGAATGACAGTTTGAATGAAATGAAGACAGCAGCAGTCTACTGTAACTCTAAACTGGTTTCCTGTTGATTGTAAATATAATGTAGAGCTATAACGTTAAATGTAGTTTGACGTCCAGTTAGCCATCTGCTAGTTTGCTAGTTTGGGTGTTTTGTGTACGCAGCCAGGGTTGAATAAAAACCACGTATGTTAACGTTATATCGTCAACACCAGCGTTAATATATTTGTGTTACACATGACTTCTAAAACCTGTCTGTGGACGTGGAAGACATCCGTCCTAATCCCTGTTCATTCACAGGCTCCATGGGATTAGCCATTAGGCTAATTGGTGAAATGAACTAAATCCCAGATCGACTGGTCTGTTAGTTGATGACAACTGATAGAAATGACTGAACTAATTTACTATTAAATATAGTATTTAACGCAACAAGAGACTGTACCTCTGTCATAACATTTCAGGTTTAGTCCTTTTAATACATATTTTAATTATTATTCTGTCTTCTGTCATGCACAGATTAAACTCTACACCAAACAAGGTTCCTTGAAATATCAAACAGACTGTGCTCCTATCAATGGCTACTTCATGATCCCTCTCTATGACAAGGTATGAGATTCACTCCTTAGAGCACTTTTAACTCTTGTATTCACCGATGTGATTGCTTGTAACCTACAGACCTGTCTCTTTTACACAGGGAGACTTTGTGTTGAAGATTGAACCTCCTCTTGGATGGAGCTTTGGTAAGATTGTGTAGTCTGCTACATGCTCACATATTATTGTTATTTATGCCAGCTGTTGTCCAGGAAATGCAGTCTCAGAGGTTGTTTGCATTATCTACGTACATGCTTCTATGTCTTTTCAACTCTTTTTTTAAAACTCTGATCAGAGCCAACCAGTGTTGACCTCCATGTGGATGGAGTGAGTGACATCTGTACAAAAGAAGAAGACATCAACTTTGTTTTCACTGGATTTTCAGTCTCAGGAACGGTGAGGATTGTTATGGATTAACGACCTCATTAATGGAAATGTTTTTTGAAGACCCTAAAAGCTTATCTGTGCGTAAAGGGGTCTAAAATTTTGACTGACATTAAACAGTCTTGGAGCTTTATGCATGGTGAAAAAGTGCTCAGGTGTACAGAGTGAGGTTCAGTGTGTGTGTGTGTGTGTGTGTGTGTGGGGATAACGTTGCAGTTCTTACCTATGCACCAAAGACCAGAATTCTTTTTATTGCATTATCCAACCCTCTTTAGGCTCGTTCTTGGATCATTATAAGAATTAATTCATGTCATAATTAAATAACATTGTTCAGGTCCTGAGTAAAGGCCATCTTTTGGGTCCGGCTGGAGTAGAAGTCAGACTCAGCCGAGTGGGAACAGAAGAGAAACTCCAGAGTGTCATCACACAGCCTGGAGGAAAGTAAGTGACTCCCACCTTTCGGTTTCACAGAGTTTTACACCAGTGTTTCTGCAGTAAACACATGTCGTAAATTGTTTTCCTTTTTTGATCTTCCTAACACAGGTATACCTTCTTAAAAGTACTCCCTGGAAATTATGACATCACAGCTTCCCATCCCTCCTGGACTCTGGAGCAGGTTGGTACCTTCACCTCAGTTTTCATGAAGCTTCATCAACAGCACAGACTAAGTAGAAACATGAATGTAGCGTGTGTGACCTCGCCCATGCCTTTTTTATGCCGCTTTTAAAGATCCAGTGTGTAACATTCAGGAGGATCTTTTGGTATAAATGGAATATAATATTCATAGGTATGTTTTCATTAGTGTATAATCACCAGAAAATAAGAATCGTTGTGTTTTTGTTACCTTAAAATTAGC